TTCGATTTGCCAGTATTTTATTTTATTTTTTTTTGAGACAGGGTTTCTCTGTAGCTTTGAACCTTGTCCTGGAGCTAGCTCTTGTAGACCAGGATGGCCTCGAACGCACAGAGATCTGCCTACCTCTGCCTCCCGAGTGTGTGTGCCACCACTGCCCGGTGATTTGCCAGTATTTTATTTAGTATTTTTGCATCAATGTTCATGAGTGAGATTGGTCTGGAATTCTCTTTCTTAGTAATGTCTTTATGTGGTTTGGGTATCGGGGCAATTGTAGCCTCATAAAAAGAGTTTGGCAATGTTTCTTCTATTTGAGGAGTATTGGTATTAGTTCTTCTTTGAAAGTCTTGTAGAATTCTGAGCTGAAACCATCTGGTCCTGGACTTTTTGGTTGGGAGACTTTTGATGACTGTTTTTATTTCTTCAGCAGTTATAGGTCTGTTTAATTTGCTTATCTGGTCTTGATTTAATTTTGGTAAGTGATATTTATCCAGAAAGTTGTCCATTTCCTTTAAGTTTTCCAATTTTGTGGAGTCCAGGTTTTCAAAATATGACCTGATGATTCTCTGTATTTCCTCCATGTCTGTTGTTATGTCCTGCTTTTCACTTCTGATTTTGTTAATTTGGATATTCTCTCTCTGCCTTTTGGATAATTTGGATAAGGCTTTGTCTATTTTGTTGATTTTCTCAAAGAACCAACTCTTTGTCTCATTGATTCTTTGTATTTTGTTGATTTCAGCTCTTAATTTGATTATTTCCTGCCATCTAGTTCTCTTAGGTGATTTTGTTTCTTTTTGTTCTAAAGTTTTCAAATGTTCTGTTAATTCAATAGTGTGGGATTTTTCCAGTTTCTTTATGTAAGCATTTAGTTCTATGAACTTTCCTCTTAACAGTGCTTCATTGTGTCCCATAAATTTGGGTATGTTGTGTGGTCATTTTCATTGAATTTTAGGAAGTCTTTAATTTTTCCTTTTATTTCTTTTTTGAGCCATTGATGATTCAGATGAGCATTGTTTAATTTCCATGTGTTTGTGGATTTTCTGGAATTAGTATTGCTGTTGACTTCTAGTTTTAAGCCATGGTGATCTGATAAGATACGTGGGGTTATTCCGATTTTTTTGTATTTGTTGAGTTTTTTTTTTTTAACCAAGTATGTGGTCAATTTTTGAGAAGGCTCATGAGGTGCTGAGAAGAAGGTATAGTCTTTTCTGTTGAGATGAATTATTCTATAGATGTCTGTTAAGTCCACTGGAATCATTACGTCTGTTAGTTCCTTTATTTCTCTGTCAATTTTTTGTCTGACTGACCTGTCCAGTGGTGAGAGGGGAGTGTTGAAGTCTCCTACTATTAGTGTGCGGGGTTTCATGTATGATTTAAGCTTTAGAAGTGTTTCTTTGACATATGAGGGTGCCCTTGTGTTTGGGGCATAGATGTTCAGTATTGAAATTCCCTCTTGATGGATTTTTCGTGTGACTAATATGAAATGACCTTTTTGTCTCTTTTGATTGATTTTACTTTGAAGTCTATTTTGTTTCTTAGGTCCATTTGATTGAAAGATTTTTTCCACAACCCTTTACTCTGAAACGATGTCTGTCTTTGAGGTTGAGAGGCGTTTCTTGTATGCAGAAGAAGGATGGATTCTGTTTTCGTATTCAATCTGTTAGTCTGTGTCTTTTTATAGGTGAGTTGAATCCACTTACATTAAGGGATAATAATGACCAGTGATTGCTATCTCTTGTTAATTTAGTTTTCATTGTTGGTGATGTTAATTTGTGTGTTTCCCCCTTCTTTGGAATTGGCTGCTAAGACCCATCAATTGTCTATGTTTTTGTTGATGTAGCCAACTTCCTTGGGTTGGAGTTTTCCTTCTAGTATTTGGTGTAGGGCTGTGTTTGTGGTTAGGTATTGGTTAAATCTAGTTTTGTCATGGAATGTCTTGTTTTGTACTTCTACGGCGATTGACAGTTTTGCTGGGTGTAGTAGTCTGGGCTGGCATCTGTGGTCTCTTAATGTCTGCATAAAGCTTGACCATGACCTTCTGGCTTTCATTGTCTCCATTGAGAAGTCAGGTGTAATTCTGATAGGTCTGCCTTTATATGTTACTTGGCCTTTTTCCTTTGCTCTTAATATTCTTTCTTTACTCTGTATGTTTAGTGTTTTGATTATTATGTGGCAAGGGAATTTTTTTTTTGATCCAGTCTGTTTGGTGTTCTGTAAGTTTCTTGTATCTTCATGGGCATATCTTTCTTTAAGTTGGGAAAATTTTCTTCTATGATTTTGTTAAATATGTTTTCTGTGCTTTTGAGTTGAACTTCTTCTATATTTATTATTCTTAGATTTGACCTTTTCATGGTGTCCCATATTTCCTGGATATTTTGGGTTAAGCTCTTGTTAGATTTAATGTTTTCTTTGACTGATGAGTCTATTTCCTCCATTGTATCTTCAGCACTTGAGATTCTGTCTTTCATCTCTTGTATTTTTATGCTTGTATTTGTGGTTCCTGATCGTTTTCTCATAATTTCTGTTTCTATAATTCCCTCGGCTTGTGTTTTCTTTATTGTCTCTGTTTCAGTTTTCAAGTCTTGAATAGTTTCTTTCATATGTTTGATTGCTTTTACTTGATTTTCTTTAAGGGATTTGATGATGTTTTCCAATTTTTTGTTTATCTTTTCCTCCATTTCTTTGAAGGAATTTCTCATTTCCTCTTTAAGAGTTTTAAACATTCTCCTGAAGTTATTTTTTAGGTAATTTTCTTCTGCTTCTTCTATATTTGGTTGTTCAAGTCTTGCTGTTGCAGGCAGTGATAGCGCATGCCTTTACTCGGGAGGCAGAGGCAGGTGGATCTCTGTGAGTTTGAGGCCAGCCTGGTCCACAAGAGCTGGTTCCAGGACAAGCTCTAAAACTACAGTGAAATCCTTTCTTGAAAAAAGAAAAAAAGAATTGCATGCCGGGTGGTGGTGGCGCATGCCTTTAATCCCAGCACTCAGGTGTCAGAGGCAGGCGGATCTCTGTGAGTTCGAGGCCAGCCTGGTCTACAAGAGCTAGTTCTAGAACAGGCACCAAAGCTACAAAGAAACCCTGTTTCAAAAAAACCAACAACAACAAAAATCTTGGTGTTATAGGGTCTCTAGATTTTACTGGTGTCGTGTTGCTCTTTGTGATGTTGCCTGCGTTCTTGTCTACTAATTTTTTCCTCTAATTGGTGTGGTTAGGGCTTTCTGTGAGTCTGGTGATTAATCTTCTAAGTGCCAGTAAATCCAAGGCTCAAATGGTTCTTCCTCGTGGTACAGTCAGTGCCACAGTTCTAGTTTCCCCGTTGGTCACTCCATGTTCCTGGAGGTCGCTCAGCGCTTTCGGGCTTTGCTCTGCTCCTGTGGAGTTTGCTGTCTCAGGCTGCTCTAGCCTAGGTTTTGGCTCAGACCTGTTTCTATAAATGTCCATGGTCTGGATCCATTCCTGCAGAGGTCCCTGGCTTGGGGTTGGTCCTGTAAAGGTCTCTAGCTCTGATCTCCTTCCTCAGAGTTCCCAGACTCAGATGTACCCAGAAGGGCAGAGGACTTGGCTCAGGCCTACTCCCTCAGAGGTCCCAGACTCACGCCTGGACCTGCAGAAGTATCTCATTCCTGCCTACTCCCTTTGACATCCCAGACCGAAGCCCAGACCCACAGAGGTCCTGGCTCAGGCTTACTCCCTCAGAGTTCCCAGACTCAGAGGTACCCAGACAGGCAGAGGACTTGGCTTGGGTCTACTCCCTCAGAGGTCTCGGACCCTCATGACTGCAATAACTCTTATAAAAGAAAACGTTTAATCAGAATGACTTGTTTGCAGTTTCTGGAGTTCAGTCCGTTGTTGTCATGGCAGGGAGCATGGTGGTGTGCAGGCAGACATATGCTGACAACATCTGGATCAGAAAACCACAGGAAGTGGGCTGTGTCAGGGAGTGAGCAAAGTCTGTCCCCATAGCGGCACGCTTCCTTCAACAAGGCCACTCCCTGTGAGCTTATTAGGGTCAATTACATACAAACTACCACAGCTCCCTTGAGTGCGGCCTCTCCCACATGCCCCTTGACCTCCTCTCAGTCCCAACCCAGGTGGAGGCTCTCGAGCCATGGGATGAGGGCCAAGGTCCTCAGTGCCCTTAGCTCCCTCCACTTCCAGGCTGGAGATGGGGGATGTGCTGGCCATACCCTGTGTCATAGCCATATTTTTATTTGTGAGGATGCAAGATGGCGTATTTGGAAGGTGCTTCTTACATAGCTTGGTGGCGGAGTCTTCTCATGTCATGGTGCTTTGAGCTGTGAGGACCTGAGAGTCGGCTACCAGGGGAGGACACAGCTGTGAGGACCTGAGACTCGGCTACCAGAGGAGGACGTACGATCTCTGAGGGCATACAGTTTGGAAGCCCCAGAAACGGAAGCCTCATCTTGGTCACTTGCTATCCGATTAGCTGGCTCCGTGGTCACAGAGTGGCTGCTTGAGCATCAGACATTAAAAACAGACCCAATTCTAACCAGGAAGAAGAGATGCGCTCTCTTTGAGGGAAAAAGAAAGAAAGAAAGAAAGAAAGGAAGGAAGGAAGGAAGAAAGGAAGGAAGGAAGGAAGGAAGGAAGGAAGGAAGAAAGAAAGAAAGAGCCTGTCCCTAGAAATCTCTGTGGAACCCACAAGCCCATCGATGGGAGAGGTGCAGCCTCTGGTGAGATCTGAGTCTTGGCTTGCACTGAGTCCAGTGCAGATGGATCATCTTAGCACTCTGGAGGCAGGCAGGAGGAGCTTGGGTTCAAGGCAAGCCTGAGCTATATAGCGAGACCCTGTCACCCCTTGTTCCCCACTCCAAAAGAAAGACATGTATAGTTGGATCCTGAACCATGCACCTCAGGCTTAACTCCCAGGCTGGATGGAATGGGGCCTCAGAATCCATGGGTGGACATTCTGTTACTGTGGCAACCACATATCCATTTGGGTGTTGAAGGAGTGGGGTTAAAGGGTTAGGAGGACCAAGCACATGGGGGAACTCGGTGAACGCAGAGCCAGTTTGCTCAGCAACCCTGTCCCGGAGACCAAGACTTCAGGGGGGTCAGAGCGTGGGCAGAACAATGGCGGTCTGGAGAATGGTAGTGTGGGCCCCCAGAGCACGTCATTTGACAGCCACTGGCTCCAGGGCTCCCAGGCCACCTCAGGGCTAGCATCAGAAGACCCGGAGGAAGATATTCCCCAGGAAGAGGTGGCCGGGGAAGAGCTAGCTGAGGCTCCCAATCCGGATGGTGGTCGAGAGCTGGAGGTGGAAGTAGTTGAAATGAGGTAGGTGTTGGGGAGCAGGAGGCTCGTGCTGACACACCAGTCCACCCTGGCCATCTCATTGTCCTTCCCCTCAGAGGCCAGGGATGCTGTTGGGGTCCAGTAATCGCTGCTGAGAGAAGTGAGAGTGACAGCTCACATCATGACACAGAGACTTCATATTCGTTACGATGCTCAGCCTTAGTTTAGGCTGACCCCACTAGCTCTTATAACTCAGAATTAACCTGTTTCTCTTCATCTGTCACCTCATTCTGTGTGTCCTGCTTTCCTGAGATGGCAGTTGCCTGCCTGGCTGGCCCCAGGCGTCTCCCTGTCTCTCCCTCTCCTCTTCTCTCCTCCTATTTCTTCCCTCTGCCTGCCAGCCCCGCCTATCCCTTTTCTGCCTCGCTGTTTCCTGCTTAACTTCGTATTAGATCAACCAGGGGCCTTGGGCAGGCAAAGCAACACATCTTTCCATGGTTAAACAAACGCAATACAAACAAAAGTAACACCTTTACATACTTAAAGTAATATTCCACAATAAGTGAGCATTGTTCTTCATCCTCTCAGCGGCTCCAGGAGGTGGGAGCTGGTTTCTTCCAATTCCATGGGCTCAGGGCTCAGTTTCCAGATGTTGTGGAGCCTGGGTGACAAAGAGACCAGAGCCAACCAAAGATCCCTGATTGTGGGGGACTGTTCTGTAGTTTCTCCGACACGTCAAGGTGGACCAGTAGACCCCTGACACCAAACTCTGTTGCAGCCAACTGTCCATCACTGAGCAGACTCCCAGCATCTCCACAGCCAAGAGCAGGAGGAAAAAGAAGGGCCGGAGACTGCTGGAGCTGGCAAAACCCAAGACCAACTGGCAATGCCTGAGAGACAGGTGAGGGTTGGGGCCCATGAGGTGCCGAGGCAGTGGGAGCCCCAGGCCTGCTGTGCTCTTCTGAACCTTGTCTCCAACCCGTTTCCCCTTCCCCGCATCACCATGGGCAGGGCACCTAGAGAATAAGTGGGCCACCGGGGAGGCATCAGGCAGGACACCAAAGGTGGGGTCCTTGGGGGGTAGTAGAGGAGAGTGAGGAATCTGGGAGCCAGTGGGGACCCAGAGGCAAAGGCAGGGCCTGGGACCCTGTCTCATCGCAGGAAGGGGTGCTGTTGTCAGGGCTATGCCTGGATTTCCCCACGTAAGAACAACCTGCAGTTCTGCCTGTATTGGTGAGTTGGGGTGTCCCTCCCTGTGTCACCTGTCCATGTCAGGGACATGCCAGGCCCCAGGGTTACACCCGAGCTGCCTTTTCTCCAGGGATCAGGTTCTGGGGGTGAAGGGCTCTTGGCTGGGGGCTCCCGCGTGCTAGGCTTGTCCTGCTTGAGCTCCCCTGCTGTGGACTGAGCCCGCTGGCAGTGTCTGTGCCGCTGGGGGTCCTAGGTCTCCAAGGGGCACTCTGCCTTCCCACCTGCCCCGTCTTGGTTGGACCGTGGGCATCGCTCTACACAATCTGTTTTCCCTGGTACTCGCTGTTTTCGGTCGGCCTGACCTCTGTCTCCTCGGGCCCTCCTTCCAGTTTCCTCGGGCTGTCCTCCCTGGTTCCCCAGCTTCCGGTTCATTGTTCCAGGACCCTAGGCTTCCTTTCCCCAGCAGGGTGCAGGGCACAAGGCCTCTGCCCTGAGCTGCTCGGCTGTATTCCAGGCCTTCTGTATACTGGACCGAGCGGTTTATCGAGGACACCACCTTGAGCATCACAGTCCCCGGTAGGTCCCGTCTCTTCAGGGCAGCCTGGGTGTCCTCTGCCTGGCCTGGGACCACCTGATTCATCTCCCCAGTCTTCCCCCACCTCCCCAGGACCCCAGTCCTCCTCCACCTCCCTGAGTGGCTCGAATCCTGTAGACACATCACAGGGCACGGGGCTCTGGGCAGTTTCCTGGGCAAACCTGGGCAGGGCTAGTATTTGTTTCACAGAGAGTCCCCCCCCCCCCCCCCCCCCCATGGGATCCATCTTCCTTGAAAGCACGGACTCCTAACAAGAGCTCCTATGTGGATGAGCATAGCAAGCAGGGTCTCTCTTGGGGCTCCAGATTCAGTCACAACCCACAAGCCCTAGAAATCCTAGGCCAGCACTAACTTCCAACAAAAACCCAGTTTCTGAGCCTCTTGTGCTCAGCCCTGGACAGGAAGGAGCTATAGTCCCAGTGTCCTGTTGTCCACTGTATTATGTATGCCTGTCCTCCCTATGTCTATGGCCTGCACCGGTGGAGGGTTGATAGGACCCCTGGGGTGGAGGGTGCTTCCCACTGAGGTCCAGTGTAACCATGGTGACTGGACCATTTCTGTTCAGAGGTATCCCGCCGAGTGGAGGAGCTGTCGCGGCCCAAGAGGTTCTACCTGGAATATTACAACAACAACAGGTGAGAGAGGGCAGGCAGACGCCACAGCTCGGAGGCCCTCCTCTTCCTCTCCCAGATGGGCTTTGCATGTCCCACTTCTGGGTCTTGATCTCAAGAGCTCCCAGCCAACATCCCACGGTGGACTGACCTCAGGGGTCAAGGGGACGGCACCCATAGGTGATCAACCTGGCCTCGTGTCATTGCTGCTCTTGACTGTAGGCTATAGAGGCGGCACCTGGAGGACAGCCATGCTTTCTGAAGCCTGTCCTCAGAGCCACTCAAAGCTCGCTGTCTCTGTGCACAGAGACAATAAATACCCACTGATGGCTGACGCGAGTCCTGCGCCACCACTGTGGAGTCCTGGTTTCCTGTGTTTATGCCGTGTTGTCACCTGAGCGGGAGGAAGCTGAAGTCCTCCTCACCCGTGGGGGGGCAACGCCCTGGCCCTGGAGTGGATTTCAGGGTGAGCCTCTGCAGCCAATGGAAGAGGTGGCTTAGCAGTCGCAGAAGCCCAGGTCGCAGCAGCAATTCTTGTAACAGTGTTTACTCCTAGACAGGGAGGACAAGGGACCCGGTTTTACCCTTTTGAGCTCAGCCTTTCGGGGTAGCCGCCGGACATGTTATGTCTGTGTCTTCATCCCCATCAGGATCCTGATAGGGATGGAGCTGGCCACTCTACTCTCCAGGCGGGACATCTGGGAGAGGCCTGTTTTGACCCTTGCTGGATGTCCCAGTGTCCCCTGGCTCCCACATCCAGGAGCATTCTGAGAATCCTAGAAAGACCACACACACTGTTAGTCCCTCACAGGGACCCAGAGGTGTGGGGTGACGGCGGAACTCGGGGTGCCTTTTAGGACCACACCCATCTGGCCCATCCCTCGATCCACTTTGGAGTACCAGCCTTCTAACCGGGTGAAGCAACTGGCTATTCCTAAGGTCCGCAACAACATCTGGAGCATCGACATGTCTGAGGTAGGTAGCGCTGGCTACACTCCCAGTGGGGGGGACATCTGCATTTGGGTGTAGGTGAGGGGGACAGGGATGCAGCCTTACGGAGTGGGTGGGTTCCCCCTCCCCCACCCCGGAGTCCAAGGACCACCCCCAGTCAAGCCAGCATCTGGCCTCTGGCTAGGGTGAGGTTCCACTGAGAAGTGACACCACCCAAAGGGATGGGACCAGTCACTCTGTGTGGTCATTTGAACCTGCTTTTTAAATAATTTTAAAGCCCAGGTGGGGTTCCCTGGCCAGACAGTCTAGCTGAGTCACTGAGCCCCAGCTTTAGTGAGAGACCCTGTCTCCAAAACCAAAAACATGTCAGGCATGGTGGTGGTGCAAGTCTTTAATCCCAGCCCTGCAGAGGTAGGAGGAGGCAGGAAGAAGCAGGTGGATTTCTGTGAGTTCAAATCTAGCCTGGACTACATAGTGAATTCTAGGACAGTCAGGGCTATGTAGAAAACCCGTCTCAAAAACAAAAACAACCCCCCCCCCAATGAAAAAGCAAACTAAATTCCCTGCTTATCTCAGAGGTGAATTTTAAATTTGGTTTTCCTTTGGATCCAAATGAGAAGACGATTCTTCTGACCCTCTGCCTCCTGTCCCTGCCCTCACACTCGGTGTGACACACCCAACCTCCTTCCTGCTGGGTCCTGCATTCAGGTCACTTCCAGTGACTCAGGGTTGCAATCCCCTCAGGCCTCTGTGGTCGCCAGGACCCTCGGAAGAGTCCAGGTTCCCTGGCCTGGAGTTGAGACCCCACGGGGGACTTTCTGTCCTTCTCAAGCGCTCCCTCTGAAACAGGTGAGGGGCTAGCCTCAGCCAAGCCCTTCTACCCTTCTCAGTGGCTCCCTCTGAATCAGGTGAGGGGCTAGCCTCAGCCAAGCCCAGGCTTTGCCCAGTCACACTGGTCCTACACAAGGCCCAACTGGTGTGTGTCTCGTTCCTGTGCTCCCTGGCCTGGTCTCTCTGGTCACAATCCATCCGTTGTCCAGAAACCAGCTCGCCAGGGCTAGCACTGCGTCTTCCTGCATGCGTTGGCTCTTGCGGAGCTCAGCAAGTCCCGCTAGTGTCATGTCTGTGCTAGTATAACCAGTCCGTGTATCAGCATATACACGCAGGCTTCTCTCTGGGCCCATGAGAGTGTCAGTAGGGAAGATTCAGGCTGGGGAATGCAGCAGCTTTTCAAAGGTGGGTGTTGAGCCACAGCCACGGATCTAAAGCTGAGGCCGTGGACAGTGGGCTCAGTTGTTATTAGCCCTGGCTGCTCTTCTGGAGGACCTGGGCTCCACCCACAGCACACCCCTGTGCTGACTCCAGTTCCGGAGGATTTGGCACCCTCTTCTGGCTACTGAAGGCAGCGCACACATGTGTTGCACAGACTCAAATACACATACAAATTATTTTTTTTAAAAAAGAACATACCGTAGGAGAATATGTCTTTTGGCTTGCTTCCCTTTCCTTCCTCAGCAGCCCCTCCATGTCCTCCCACCTCTGCCTCAACAGCCCCTGCGTAGCCTCCCCATTCCAGGTGAACTCAGCATTGCTACCGGCTGGCTTTGCATGTGTGTTACGCATTGATGCCAGAGCTGCGAGGTTCACTCTGAGTCACAGGAAGCTGTGTAGAGTTGCTCTCCTGCTCTGGTGTCTGTAGTCTCTGCGACCACACTGTCACCAGCGATAGCCTCTTTTCTCTCTGTTTATTATTTATTTGTTTATTTTATTCATTTTGAGACAGGGTTTCATTCTGTAGGCCAGCCTGGGATCGGACTCACAGAGATCTGTCTGTCTCTGCCTCCCCAATGCCAGACTAAAGACATGTTCTGCCATGCTGGGCTATTATTATAGTATTTCTGGTATTTCGTTTGATGATTTCCTTCTCCGAGTCAGCTGAGAGCACTGTCATTTTGTCCCTGGATGGGTTCTTTGTGTACTAAGGTCATTAATCCTTGTTGACCACATTGCGAACCTCACTTCTCCCCAGGAGAAGGGCACTCTTGTTCCACAGACTTGAGGAATCGTGTCTGCTTCACTCTTCCCCCTGGTCCTGTTTCCAGGTTTCCCAGGTGTCCAGAGCAGCCCAGATGGCAGTCCCCACCCCACGGACCCTTAGCCTGGCAAAGCCCAGGCCCCCAGCCATCCTCATGGAAGAGTGGGACCCTATGCCGAAACCCAAGCCTTATGTGTCTGACTATAACCGTCTCCTCCAGCTGGCAAGTGAGTGGCTGCCCTCCTGCTGTGGGGTGGCTGAGGAGCCAGCCGGGTGGAGGCCTGCACTTGCCAGGGCTGTGCCTTCCTTGGGCTGCATCCCCCGCAGCTGTAGACTGGTTGTCTGAAACCTGGCAACTATCAGAGGGTACAGCAGGCAAAGTGGGTGCAGGGCATGAGGTTGAGGGCAGGCACCTGGCAGCCAGGCTGAGCTGGTAGGGCTGGTTTGAAACAATTGTTTGATTCCCTTCTGTGTGAAAGTTGAATAGCCATTCACCAGTGGCAAAAGTAATGCGTACTGTTCACAGGAAAAATGAAAGAGGCTAAAGAAGAAAGTGAAAATAACCAGACCCCGCGTGGGCTGGTTCATACACCTCTTCCAGGCTATCCCCCACTCTCATACTGTCCAGTGGGCTGAGCCGTTGGCACGATGGAGCCCCGTGACTTCCAGGGCACAGCAGTCAGTGGGCTTTGGTGACCGTCACTGGATACCTTGCGTGTTGTTGGCCTCAGGACTCCCCTTCCTGTGTCGTTCCTGCACCCTGTCCACCTCAGAAACGGAACCCTGGCACAGTTTACGTGCTTTCTGCACATGGCGTGACCTGTGCGCCTTTGTTCTGGTCACTGTGTGCTGGCCCCGAGAGCCCACCAGCTCGTAGAGCCGCTGGTCTGTGCTGCCCTGGGCCTGTGCCTGCACAGCTGGGGGCTTCTCCCCAGCTGCCTCTGTCCCGGGTCTCTTTCTGGAGGATGGTGGCCCACTGAGGTGATGCCTTCCAATCCACTTGTCCTTTTACACTTTGCCTGTGGGGTTTTCTGTTTGTTCTCTCAACAGCAGATGGTGAGGGTGAGGCCGGGGTGGCATGAGCATGTGTGAGCATCATGCCTTTGTGCGTGTGTTCCCTCTCACCCAGGCCTTACTGTGTACGCTGTGGGCTAGGGTTCTGCTGTCCAACATGAGTGCCCAGTCCAAAGGACTGTGACCAGCACTTCCTGGCGCTGAGCTTTCCAGGTGCTCCCTCTGCTGCTGACAAGTGGGGTGTGCTTAGCGGTGTGTGGGAGCATGCACCCAGTTCTGCTTCTATCAGTCCTGCCAGAGCGGGAGGGGGCGGGGCTCTTCTCCGCTGTCACACTGTGCTTCACAGTTTTAACGACCAGATGTTGGGGTTAGAGAGATGGCCCAGTGGCTGAGAGCATTGGCTGCTCTTCCAGCAGACCGGGATTCAATTCCCCCCAGCCCCCATGTGGCAGCTCAAAACCAGCAGTAACTCCAGCTCCAGGGGACCCGACATCTTCTTCTGACCTCTGAGGGCACCAGGCACCCACAGATGTGCATATGGGCAAAAGCATTCATACATATTAAACAACAAAACTGTTCTGGAGCAGAGATAAGCTCAGGCGTTACCATTGCTGCAAAGCTTAGGTGCTCTGAGTCCAGGGAGTGTAGAGTTTCCTGCCTTGGGGCTGCCGGTTCCCAGATGATGGCTCAGTTTTGCCCCAGGACCTTTGCTCGTAGAGCCTTGATCCAGCCTGAGGTCCTTCTGAGTTTTGAGGACAGAGCTTGTGTTAACTGTTTACCCCGCAGTTTGAGGGCACAGCTCCAGGGTTGGTGCCCCCACATTCAGGGTGTTCTTTCCTGGCTCTGTGAGAAAGGCTCTTGTAGACACGCCCAGAGGCATGTTTCCATGGTGATTCTCCATCACAGGGTTCCAGTTCTCTCCCCAGGGCCTCTGAGGAGTAGGGCTGTTGACCCTGGTGTGTGTGAGTGGGTGGAGGGCTCGTCCATCTTCACCGGGGCCCAGGCAGACAGGGACTTGATAGAGGCTGTGGCTGCTGTTCTGGGAGGATGGGACTGTGAGATGGGCTGGCCAGGGAGAGGCCCTGTAGCCTTGTACCCCATCTCATAGTGATGCCAAAGGCGTAGAACACACAGACCAGGGCCGTCTTCTTTCCACCACTGCCACCAGGCCCAGGTGGAGAAGGATCCACGTTCTCCCTGGTACCTGTGTCTCCTTTCTGAGCACCATGACCAACTTCTCAATTCACCCTCTTAAAAGATGGTTTTTGATATATTCACCAAGTTGTCCAATTATCACCTATCCAGCTCTAGAACATTCTTTCACCACAAAAGAAAACCTTGTCCTCTTGAACAGTCTCCTGCACCCCCGAATCCACCTCCTCTTTTGGGTTCCCCTGTCATGGACTCCTGTGCCATCGTGTGGTTTGAGTCTGGTCCTCTCATAGCCGCTCATGCGATTGTCTCCCAGCCTCGGTTCTGGTCATGGCTGTGTGTGTGCACGTGAGTGCCATGTGCTCCAAGTGACACTGTGAGCGTGGCCCACACAATTCTGTCACTCATTTGCTGGTGGGCGGACCCAGCTTGGAGCTTTGCCTGAGAAGGCTGAGCCTGGCCTTGTTCCTCTCTTCTGCCCTCCAGCTCCCAAGGCTCTGTCAGAGAAGTGTGTTCCTGACCGCAGCCCTCAGTGGGAGGTCCTGGAAGCCACCAAGAGAGCAGTGGCCAGTTCACGGATCCTCTCCCTGGCCCAGCCTAAGATCCGCAAGGACCTCAACGAGGGCTACAACCCGTACTACATCTCTCCAGTCTCTCTGGTGGCCCAGGCGTCTCCTCGCATTTATGAGCTAGCCACCCCCAAATTCATCACCAAGAAAGTGTGACAGCCAGGCCCAACCTCCGGCCCACCCCCAGTAAACACCCAAGTGCATCCTCACCTGTGTGCCTGATTTGCTAAGCTTCGTGGCCTGGGCATGGGCGGGCAGGGATGCCTCAGGCCACAACAATAATAACGCTATTTTCACATTCTACCTGCAATGTGCGCCCTCTTATTTCCCATCTCAAGGGACTCTAAGGCTGGGCCTCAGGCCCTTGCCCCATCTCCCCGACTATCCCATCCTGTTGCCTCCCACATACCCACACGGACATCAAGTTCAGCCCCATGGCATGCTGGTCCTCCTCTTATGGGGTTCCTGCCAGCGTCCTGAGTCTCACTGTTGAAACTATCACAGGGTCATGTGTTTGGAGGGAGGATTGGGAGTCAGTAAGGCTGGGAGGGGAGCACTCTTGGCCACTTCTGCCATCCGAGGGTACATCACTGCACAAGCTGAAGGCACACAGCAGGACATGGCTTCCAGGGCTGTCAGACGTGGCAGCTGGTTATGCAGACGTATGGAGCAGGCTCTGGGTTCCTAATGAACCTCTGCGGGGTCTCTCACCTCTCAGGTCCATGAGAGCTGGATGAAACAGAGGTACTTCTTTTTGGTAGATCCTGGGAGCACATACTGGTCCCGTTGTCCCAGAGTCTCAGGGGCCATATTAGCACAAGGCCCTTCCTTCCTCCTCTGGAGCCAGCAGCTCCTGTCTCCCAGTCTCTGCTCTAAGTATCCTCTTCTCTGAGGATCCCATGGTGACACTTGGTCCATTATGGTCCCCAGTTTAGGGGTCTTTACCTAATCTCAAGGAGAATATTCTAGAGGGGGGAACTGCGCAGGAGGACTCTCCCTCATTGTGGAACCTTCCATAGAACCTCCTGGGTGGGTGGCTGTGTCACGGTGAGCCAGCTGCCCTGGTCATGACAGTGAGAGAGGTCTGCATTATCGCTGTAAGCATCATCTCACAGATCCTGGGCTAAGTCTGGGAATCTGACAGTCTTGCTTGTGAGTTCTCGGAAAACATGAACTTTTCTGGTAATTCAGAGGATATGATTGAGCACTTGCTGCCCAGAGCTAGACCAAGAGTCAAAAAGTTGGCATCCAAAATGAGACGACGGGGATGTCTCTGAACGGAACCCCTCATGTTGTTGGAGGAGGCCGTTCTCGCAGCACTAGCAGCTGCCAGGCAGAGGTGGTCATCCAGGACAGTGGGGTGGGGGTCCCCATTTCTGCAGTGCTTGAGTAGTGCACTCAGGAACTGGGGGAGGTAGTTGGCTGTCTTATGTGGCCTGAATGAGGCTCTACCTCTTCAGAGACAGACCGTGCTCAGCTCTGGTTAGTGACAGGGTGACTGATGTGCCCTTTGAGGCACAGACTGTGTGGCTGCTGCCTGTGGTCATGCTCCCCCTCCACAGACGCCTGGGGTCCTGAGCTGGGGGTAATATTTGATCACAGGTGGGTTCAACAGATTGCAGGATGGAGGCAGAGGCCCTGACAAATGGAATGATGGCCATCTCGGGGTGTCAGAAATAGGTTAGTTTGTTTTCTGTCAATGAACTAACCAAAAGACAGGAAAAAAAATGTTCCAGGAAATCTCGGGAAGTCCCAGAAGAGTCATCATATGATACCTGGGAAATTGGGGTTCCCAGTCTTATTCATAAAAGAATTTAAGAATTGCTACAAATGGCCGTTGGAGGACATTGATTAGAGTTCCAGATGGAAACTCCAGGGCAGGCAAGCTGAGCAAATCAGAGCTGCCTGGAAGGGGCTTGGGTGTGGGGGAGGTGGGGGAAAGAAGTAGCAAAGGCTATACCATCTGAGATAAGGGGAGAGAAGTAGCAAAGGCTATGCCATCTGAGATAAGGCAGAGAGTAGTGGCAGGAGGGCGGCTAAGCTGGACAAAGGGGAAGAAGTTCAGAGCATTAGTTCAGAGGTTGAGGCTCTGGACCATTATCTGGAAGAAAAAGATACTTAAGGGAAAAGGAAATAGTTCCTTCCGCATCAGGCCTCAGAACAGCCACATAGTGGCTCCCAGGGGCTGCACTAGGGGCAGGGAATTTTGAGAGGAAAAGGTCTATCTCAAGGTGAATCTGCCTCCTTAGGGGTGGTTCCCTTCTGAGGTCCCTGGCAAGCTCTGTCTCTACCTAGAGGTAGATGTCATTCCTTACAGGGGCTCTGTGTCACCAAAGCAGAAGTCATCAGTACGAATACAGAGGAGGCGACCAAGGAAGGGAGGAGAGCAACCTGATCACCTGCTCAGCAAGTTCTGATCTTCTGGCCTGGGCCTTGCCGTTTAGTCCAGGCTGACCTTGAACTCAAGGTATCATTCTGTCTGTACTGGAATTCTGTAGACCAGGCTGGCCTCATACTCACAGAGATCTGCCTGCATCTGCCTCCTGAGTGCTGGGATTAAAGATGTACGTCACCATGTCTGGCCTCACTCTAGTTTTGCAAACAGACTTGCCCCAGAGGGCAGCTCTCTGTGTCACTCTCTCTGGGGAAGCCTTAAATGCTGAGGTCATCACGGGCTCTGCCCACTGCCTGGCGGTTCCCTCACCTTCTGCCTCCACGTCCAGAGGTATCCTCTCCCCAGTATGAGTCTCTGTTTGCTTCTGTCTTCATCGAGGCTTCTACTGCTGTGATAAAACATCATGACCAAAAGCAGCTTGTGGAGGAAGGGTTTATTTGGTTCACACTTGCACATCACGGTTCATCAAGGAAGAAAGTCAGGCCAGGAACTCAAGTAGAGAAGGAACCTGGAGGCAGGGGCTGATGCGGAGACCACAGAGGGGTGCTGCTTACTGGCTTGCTCCCCATGACTTGCTCAGCCTGCTTTCTTTTTTATTTTATTTTATTTTATTTTTGGATTTTTCGAGACAGGGTTTCTCCGTAGCTTTTGGTTCCTGTCCTGGAACTAGCTCTTGTAGACCAGGCTGGCCTCGAACTCACAGAGATCCGCCTGTCTCTGTCTCCCGAGTGCTGGGATTAAAGGCGTGCACCACCACCGCCCGGCTCAGTCTGCTTTCTTATAGAACCCAGGACCACCAGGCCAGGGATGGAACCACCCACAAAGGGCTGAGTCCTCTCCCAACTACCACTAATTAAGAAAATGCCCTACAGGGGTGTCTACAGCCCGATCTTTTGGGGGCATTTTCTCAACTGTTGTTCCCTCTTCTCAGATATATCTACCTTGTGTCTAGTTGGCCTAAGAACTAGCCAAGGCTGCTTCCTAGAGAGTATGACCTGCAAAAGGATGGGAAAGGCCGGTTTTCCACACAGGAGCTTTTGGTGGCCAGGCTGTGTCTGGCAGCGACAAGGCACAGACACACGGTGGCCCCTGGACCACAGCACACAGTAGGCTGTCCTGCCATGCATTCTGAGGGCGACTCTGACACAGCTGCTCACAGGACTAGGTGCCATCTTGTTTGGGGACATCTTTCCTACTGTGATGCTTCTTGTGACTCAAATGACGGTGCCCCTTCCGAGATTCATTCCTAATGTGACATTATTAAGAGGGTGATTGAGACTTCATGGGATTAGCACCTTATAAAAGGGTTTGAGGTTGAGGAGGTGGGGGGCTGTTTGCTTGCCCTTCCACCCCTCTACCACGACAAGACACAATCAAAGTATGCCCCTTCTGGAGAACCCAGCACTCGGGGTCAGCCACTGGCTAGACTGGCCAGCCAGTGAGTTTTGGGACCTACCTGTCTCCACATTCCCAGAGCTAGCTACAGACATGTAGGTCTGGCTTCTAGAAGGTGCCAGGGATCCGAACTCAGATTCTCATGCTGCGTGTCAGGCACTTTACTGCACCTTCTCCCCTGCTCTGGGAAATGCATTTCCATGGAAGCAGTCTTTGAGACTGGATCTCCTGACGTAAGCCTTGCAGGGGCTAGGATTAACTATGGGCAATATCCCTGGTTTTTTTTTTTTTTCCTGTAACTGAAACTGGAATTACAGGCAGTTGTGAGCTGCCATGTAGATGCTGGGAATAGAACCTGGGTCCTCTGGAAGGGTAGTGGTACTCTCACAACTGAGTCACAGCCCCGAGGGTTTTTTTTTCTTCTCTATACAAGGTTTCTCTGTGTAGGCCTGGCTGTCCTGGAACTTTCTCTGTAGACCAAGGTGACTTTGAACTCACAGAGATCCACCTGCCTCTGCCTCCCGAGTGCTGGGATTAAAGGAGTGCACCACCACTGCCCAGCTCAAGAAGCCAGTTTTAATTTATGTCCTTTATAACCCATTTGTGGCATCATTATTATCCAGAAGTGTCTTGTGGTGGTGAATGAGAATATGACCTCCAAAGGCTCCTCTGTCTGAACAGTTGGTCTCCAATTGGTAGAACTGTCTGGAAAGGACTAGAATGTGTGACCTTGTTGGAGGTTTTAAACACTCACACTATTCCTCGCAGTGCTCTGCTCCCCTCCCTTCCTCTCCCCCCCCCCCCACCTGTCCTGGGCTGTGGTTAAGACTGTGCTTGCCTGCTGCCTCTCTGTCGTGATGGTCATGGATTCACCCTCTGAACTGTAAGCCCCAGTTTGAACACTTTCTTTTGCAGGTTGCCACGGTCATGGTGTTTTGTCATGGCAATTTAAAAGTAATTAAGATACCTTGCTACACCACCACATTGTTCTTGAACTCTTGGGTTCAAGTGATCCTCCTGCCTCTGCTGTAGGAGACTGCTTGTTTGTTCCCAGCCAGTTAGACAAGAAATAACCACACAGAAACTGTATTCATTAAATCACTGTTAGGCATATTTCTATCTCACTCTTATCTCTTAAGTTAACCCATTTCTATTATTTTATATTTTATCACAAGGCCTGTGGCCTACTGGCAAGGTTCCGGCTAACAGCTTGCCTCTTTCTCCTCTGGCAGCTCCATGGCATCTTCTTGACTCCGCCTACTCTCTCTATAGATCTCTTCCAGCCTGGCTATATTCTGTTAAGCCATTGGCCAAAAGCAACTTCTTTATTCATTAACCAATAAAAGTAACAAATATAGGAAGACTTCCCACACCATTTCCTCTTTTCTGCTTAAATAAAAAGGAAGGTTTTTGGGCCGGGCGGTGGTGGCGCACGCCTTTAATCCCAGCACTTGGGAGGCAGA